ATAATTGTCAAGTAATGCTGTAAGGCAAGTTGTCTTGGATTACTAAATTATACAGATGTTTGATGTTCTACTTTTCATAATTGACATATGTGTTTTTATTTATGTTAGCCTTAAGGTGATAAGTTGATTTTAAAAGTCTTAAAATAAGACACAAGGATTCTTCCATTAATACACATTCTAAGCAACGCTAAGGAATGTTAATATCAGCTTTCATTTTAATGCACATGCAAAATTTCACATCATGCATAACTGCAGAAATAGACTGCTAAAATGTAATTATTTTAATTACCTAACTACCGTATTTTCCGGCGTATACGACGACTTGGCGTATAAGATGACCCCCGACTTCGGAGATGATTTGCATGCTTAGAAAGTTGTCTTATATGCCAGAAACTACTGTATTTTCCAGCGTATCAGATGACTCAGCTTATAAGACGACTCCCGACTTCAGAGACGATTTGCATGCTTTAGAAAGTCATCTTATACGCTGGAAAATACGGTACCTAACAAAATAAGTCATGGGTCTTATAACTAAAAATCAGCCACTTAGTAGTCCACTTAGCTGGATAATTTGTTCTCTCAGCACAGCTGTCACCAACCACCTAAGAATTCCTTAAGAGAAATGGAGGAAGGAACCTGTCAATCACCACATAATTTCAGTCAGCTAGACTTTTACCTTCTGGATAGCATCTTTGTTTATTTAGATTTCTTTAGACCTGCCATATCTAGGCTGCAAACAAATATTAAATGGCAGCAAAGAGCATTTTCTGCATCACTTTACAGTAGTAGCCCATATTTTAGCAACTCAGATCCAGTAGCTATACACTTATTGCATTTATTTACAACTGATTAATGAAATGGTGCACAGAACAGGAAACATTAACAGGTTATATTCATGTTAGTGTCTTGTTTAGTGGATTGTTAGAGGAATGTCTGGATTGGTACCTACTTGGATGGAGGCTGCAGGGGTTTTGGACTTGGACTTAGATTTGCATACATTTGAGCTAACTTTCCAGAGAATGGGTTATGTTTGCTGCATTGGCCATGCCTGCCACATTTGTTATGCCAGTAGACCTGGTGGCTGACCTGTGGAGCTGGCCCGTCAGTACTGTAATGTTTTTGTTGTGGACATTTCTGCTCTATGGGTTCTTTTCTTTGGACTGGGTTTGTTAACAATTAATTAATTAATTTGTATTTCATATTTCTATACTGCCCATTGCCTTCAAAGAGAGTGTTTGGCTAGGGTGATGGTCACTGGGAATAGTCCCCAGTCTTGGAGGGATGGTTCTACCTTTGAAGGTTAAGGATGAGCTGAAGTATTAAGCTGTGATATATAGTCCAAAAAATGTTGGGTCTTTTGATGGCACAGACCAACTCGCTATATTCCAGGTTATAATGGACAGAGGGTCATCTTTTGCAGCTTGTCAGGAGATTTGCTTTATACAAAGGGAAGTTGTAGAGTTGTTGCAATGGCTTGAGGTGTGATCCTGCATGAAATTGGCCTTCTCTAAATGGAGGGGAGCCCCATCAAAATTCTGTATAGACTCCTAGGAAATGTGTTTGAGGTATGAAGATTTAGCACCGGCTAACAAGGCTTGCCATTCCGGAACCTCTTTTCTAGGTGTAGAGCAGAGGGTTATTAGGTCATGCTCCATTCGGCTTTGCAATGGTGGCACTGACAGGGGTCCTCTCTCTCTCTCGAGATTGATATGTTGCAGAAGGTATCATCGGAAAGTCACATAAGGATGCTAGCATCTCCTTCTCTTTGGGGGCCTCTACTGTCCCTGTGTATCTTGGCTTCTGCTTTCCATGAACTCATATTCTTGCAAACTGTTGCCCCCTGGGGGGGAAGTAAGAGGCTCAATTATAGGGGAAACCAAATCAATAAGCGGTTCAGCTGTATCGATTGTGACCAATAAGGATTTCTTTAGATTTTCTAACAATGACCACATTAGAAAATGCAGTGGTTTACTATTGGTTCTTATAAAGAGAAACATAATAATTCTTGGTAACAGCAGCCATTCAGAGAGTTTGTGCTTCTACACTTTCTACTTTCGATTCAAAGCCCTGAAGATATAAGCAAGATGATGCCTGGTTGCTTTAATCTAACAATACTGCTAAACTTGTCAAGACAAGCTTTGGACACAAAGGTTACACAAAAATAACTCTCCCAATTTTTTTTACTCAAACATTTATATTCAAAATTACCAGCAAAACAGAGAATTCTCAGATAAGCAAGTTCAATCATACCAGTTCATTGCTTCAAAAGAATTGTTAATTGCCTCCCTGCCTCACTCCCTAATACTGAACTTTTGTAAAGGATCCTTATGTTATAAAAGAAATATAATAAACTTATAATTATGACAACTATATGCAGTAGTTTTCAAATATTCCATTTAAATAATACTTAAAATGCTTTTCTTTTTAGGAAATAAACTTCTGAATAAGATGCTTATTGGAAAATTCAATTTAAAAAATAAAGCTATAATCTGGGAAAACATTTGACATTGTTATATAATGCATTCCCCTTTATGGATTACTGCCTTGTCGTGGCGAAGGGGCTTGCGTAACTCAATGAAGCTATGAGCTATGCCGTGCAGGGCCACCCAAGACGGACAGGTCATAGCAGAGAGTTCTGACAAAATGTGATCCACTGGAGAAGGAAATGGCAAACCACTATGAAAACCCCATAGACAGTACTAAAAAATATAATGCATTAGTACTGGATCCCTTAGAATAGATTTGGTGATATTCCAATTAAAATATTTTCTTCCCAAAATAATCAACTAGTTTATAAACAAAGAACACATTACAAATAACCTTCCTAAATTAAAAAAAAACAGCATCACAATGATATGCTTTTTACTTAAATGTAATCCCAGGAACCTGGCTATATTTTACAACTTCTAATTACTGAATTACATCACAGCTATTTAAGGCTTACAGCTATCATAACAGAAACTCTGAAGAAAAAGTTCCAGCTGTACCTGTGAATATAAACCTCAGGAGACAAGGAACCCAGAGTCACATGAGGCATTACCCGCATAGCTGGAGCAGTCAGATGGAGATAATGTAAAGCAGGGTGTCAAACTGCCAGCCCACTGACCGGATGCATCATAGCAAAACCATGCCCACCCCATTGCCGGCAATGGCAAAAAAGTCACAATATATTGCAACATGTTACATGATGTTGCGAGTTTTTTACATTGTGGCCTTACCAAGGCATTGTTAAGTGGTATTAATACTTCATGTGATCTTGATTCTATCCCTCTGTTAATGCAGCCTAGCACTGTGTTGACCTTTTTGGCAGCTGCAGCACACTGCTGGCTCATATTTAAATGATTGTCCACTAGGACTTTGAGGTCCCTCTCACAGTTACTACTATTCAGCAAGGTACCCCTATACTATACCTGTGCATTTGTTTTTTCTTGCCTAAATGTAGAACCTTACTTTTTTCACCATTGAATTTCTTTTTGTTGGATAGTGCCCAGTGTTCAAGTCTGTCCAGATTCTCCTGTATCTTAAGCCTGTCTTCTGGAGTGTTGGCTATTCCTGCCAGCTTGGTGTTGTCTGCAAATTTGATTAGTTCCCCATCTATCCCCTCGTCCAAATTGTTGATGAAGATATTGAAGAGCACTGAGCCTAGAACAGAGCCCTGGGGCACCCCACTACACTCTTCCCTCCATGGAGATGCTGTTCCATTGAGGACCAGATGCTGAGTACAGCCTGTCAGCCAGCTGTGAATCCATCTGGTGGTGATGCTGTCTAACCCACATTTTTCTATCTTATGAAGTAGTAGGTTGTGTACTTTATCAAATGCCTTACTGAAGTCCAAGTAAATTATATCCACAGCATTCCTCTGATCCACTAATTTTGTCACTTGGTCAAAGAATGCAATAAGATTTGTCTGGCATGATCTGTTTTTGACAAAGCCATGTTGGTTGTTAATTGAGCAATGTGTAGATGCATTAATGAACTAATGGTTAGCATTTGCTTGGAGTTAAATAATGGTTAATGGAATGCAAGGGAGTTTGGGCTTAGTTTCCTTGTGAAGATATAGGAATTTTAGGCTGATCCCTCTTAACTCTGTCTCTCCTTCTACAAATTTATCTGAAAGCAACATACTGAGTCAGATATTAGTCAACCTTTGCTTTAATAAACTGACTTTATGTACTATGATTCTATATTGCCAACATGAGGTTGAGAAAATCCTTTCCAATTCTTAAAAACCTAGGTTCTTCCAATTACACGATATAGCACAAACAAGAGAAATTACACTGCGTTAATCATGTGAGCTCTATTTCAAAGGCTTGAAAGATATATTTTAATGGCTACTAGACATGTTATCTAAATAGAGATATCACATTTAAAACAATTATGCTATTAATAACCATCTATTAGCAATTGAAGAAGACTATTATCTTCCCCTGGTATACCCACATGTGATCAACTATTTTGTGACTCATTTCTGGATTAGCTGGACTTTCCTCCCACGCTAACAGGCCTTTTCTGAATAAGAGAAACAATGGATTGGAAAGCAATTAGATAGCATGCTTTTCCACTTATGACAGTCTGTCCACCATCCTTCAAATCTGAATCAGCCATTTTGTCAAATAGGTCTGCATACAACAGTAAAGCAATAGATAGTAGTCTATGGCACCTGTGGCTGACAATGATTAACTTGACTGCAGTTAAATAAATAGAATGCACCTGTAAAGACTACTTCCTAAAGGTATAACAACTGTTTGGCAATGATCATGCTGGCAAAACAGCTGCTTCCATTCTGGAGCACAAACAAAGTAGTGTCTTCAGCAACTGTCAACTCTGGTGCTTTATCGGTGCTATCTCATTAGCTAGAAAGAAAGCTTAAATGCTTTGTTTATAAATTATGATTATTTCTGATTGCAGTAGTTACTGATAGTGCCACTCATTTGCAATGCAATTCTTTGAATTTGTTTAATTACAATTTGAAACAAGACAGAGAAGATTAATTAACCCACCTGGCTGGCTGGCACATACTCCTGGCTCGGCTCTGTCATACTCATATACATGTTTTCACCGTCAAACTGCAAACAGAAAAAATATATATAAATCAACAACTTTTAAGCTTCTATCAAAATGTGATAGCTATAATAAAAAAAAATTACAGCTTGCTTTGAAAGGCTGTTTCTGTTGTCATCCTTATTGACCCTGGATGTCAGTGATTAGAGGTAATTAGTGCTCTAGTAATTACAGTAAGCAATGAATGGTTCTTTTCATCTACAATCTGTTTTAAAACAAAATGGCTCATTTTCAGTACCATATATATATGTATATATGTTTCTGTGTGTGTGTATATACATGTACATATATACATATACACTTACACACAAACTGCTGTTAGGATAATGAAGTAAAGTGACTTGAACATTTCTGACAAGGAAAAAGTACTATAAAAATAATAAATTAGTTTTTAGTAAATTCTGAATTTTGTCTGCACAACAATAAAATCAACCTGATACTATACCTTAATATATCACTCATTTAGAAAATAAGGAAAAACAGTAAATGTTCAAAATATTTCAGGCAAATTTATCCAAATAGTTAATAAAACATTTTTTCTAACAAAATAAAAATAAATGTCCATATTGTTATAAATGAAATTACCATGACAGAATAAGATAATTTATATATTTTCTTCCCTTAAATACAAATTGATTAAACTCAAATGACATCAATCAAATCAGCAATTAAACTTTTTCTTCATGCCTATTGTAATCCACATTTTTTAGAGTAACAAAACATATATATGGCAGATGATTAAATATATTTTTATTAAATACTTTCAGAAATGTTTGGTATATCCCAAACTTTCCTAATATTATAGTGTACCACCACCTAGATTCAATGAATCATTTGCAAAAATAATTATATTAGATAATAATAAAGTTGGAAGGGACCTTGGAGGTCATCGAGTCCAACCCCCTGCTCAGGCAGGAAACCCTATACCATTTTGGACAAATGGATGTCCACTCTCTTTTTAAAAATTTCCAGTGTTGGAGCATTCAACGCTTCTGGAGGCAGGTTGCTCCACTGGTTAATTGTTCTAACTGTCAGGAAGTTTCTCCTTAGTTCTAAGTTGCTTCTCTCCTTGATCAGTTTCCATCCGTTGCTTCTTGTTCTGCCTTCAGGTGCCTTGGAGAATAGCTTGACTCCCTCTTCTTTGTGGCAGCCCCTGAGATATTGGAACACTGCTATCATGTCCCCCCTCGTCCTTCTCTTCATTAAACTAGACATACCCAATTCCAGCAGCCGTTCCTTATATGTTTTAGCCTCCCGTCCCCTAATCATCTTTGTTGCTCTTCTCTGTACTCTTTCTAGAGTCTCAGCATCTTTTTCACATTGTGGCCTTACCAAGGCATTGTAAAGTGGTATTAATACTTCATGTGATCTTGTTCTATCCCTCTGTTAATGCAGCGCAACACTGTGTTGGCTTTTTTGGCAGCTGCAACACACTGCTGGCTCATATTTAAATGATTGTCCACTGACTCTGAGATCCCTCTCACAGTTACTACTATTGAGCAAGGTACCACCTATACTATACCTGTACATTTGGTTTTTCTTGCCTAAATGTAGAACCTTACTTTTTTCACCATTGAATTTCATTTTGTTAGATAGTGCCCAGTGTTCAACTCTGTCCAGATCCTCCTGTATCTTAAGCCTGTCTTCTGGAGTATTGGTTAATCCTGCCAGCTTGGTGTCATTCACAAATTAGATGAGTTCCCATCTATCCCCTTGTCCAAATCATTGATGAAGATGTTCAAGAGCACTGGGCCTAGAACAGAGCCCAGGGGCACCCCACTACACACTTCCCTCCATGTAGATGCGGTTCCATTGAGGACCAACACTGAGTATGGCCAGTCAGCCAGCTACAAATCCATCTGGTGGTGATGCTGTCTAACCCACATTTTTCTATCAATAAGGTACTCCATAAATTTTGTTTAGGATAATAGGGTTCTGTTCATATATAACTGACCAAACCTGTCTTATGTTCCCTATATTAATGGACAGGAAAATCGGAACAAAGTCTGGTTTTCAGAAGTCATGGTCAAATAAGATGCCCAGAGCACTCTATATATTGTATGTCTTTAGAAAAGTACAGAAGATTCCCCCAGATTATTTTTACAAAGACAGTGAAGAACTTAGTTCCTTACTACCTCTGTAACTGAAATAATTTCCTGACTCAGGTTGATAAGCATCTTTTTAAAAAAGTCCCATCGGAAGGATATTTTCGAAAGCATCCAGAGCTAAAACTACTCTCTTTTGTAGAGCTGTAGAAATGCTTAATCTTTTAAATAGAGAGAAGGCTGACAGGTTCTCTTATCTTATAAAGTTAAAGGGGGAACTAAAACTCAGAAGCTTTGATCAATCAATCAACACTCAGGCTTTATATATGACTTTGTTCCAGTCTACATATTGCCTCTAGCTTTTCTTGCTCAATGTTGGTATCCATAGCACTAAGGCAGAAATAGTGAAACAGAAATTGTACACCTGGCTGAAGTAAAAACGCTGCATTATGTTACATACACAGTGTAGTGCTTTCCAATATGAAGGAAGCATGTTGAAGTAATTTGGCTATATATTGCAATTGCAAAACAACATATGGAGAAAGAATGAGTATGTTGTGAAGAATAAAAAATCAAGAAAGCTGTAACTGGATGTAATAGATGAGAACTCCAGAAAGAAAGAAAAGATGCTTAAAGAACTAAAGACAAAGTATAAAGCAATATACCATCCAAATTTGGTAAAAACAAGGATTAGCAAAGATAGAAAGCTTTGGATAGGTATCATGAATGGTGCTGGTGTGAACTAGATTTAATTTTGATTAATTTCCTTACTGCCTGCTTTTATTACTGCTTCTTCCTCTTTTTCTATGTTTTGCATAATGCTCATCCTGAAGGGAGTGCAGTCAGTCCTTGGCTTACAACTAATTCAGCCCAGAATTAGGTAGGTAGGTAGGTAGGTAGGTAGGTAGGTAGGTAGGTAGGTAGGTAGATAGATAGATAGATAGATAGAGATAGATAGATAGATAGATAGATAGATAGATAGATAGATAGATAGAGAGATAGATAACCTTTATTGTCATTTTTTTAGTGTGGGCACACTGGAACACATTAAAAATGAAATTTGGTTGCTTGCTCTCAAAAGTGTACACATACACATTTAAACACACTATATACAACATATGTATAAATCTACACCCTTACATATAAATAACATATAAATATTAATCACTGTCCATCTTGAGTACATAGCAGAAAGAGGAAGCTTTAGAGTTCACAAGATTAATACTGTATGGAACAAAGCTATGACTGAATTGGATGTTTTGCTTCGGATACGGAGCCTCCTCCCAGAAGGTAACAAGGAAAACAGGTCATGAAGAGGATGTATAGTGTCCCAGACAATCTTGTGGACTCTGTTCATGCACCACTTATATGCTATGTCCTGGATGGAAGGGAAGGAACTGCCAATAATCTTTTCTGCTAGAAGCACGAAGCCGAAAGCACCAGCCTGAAGATGATGAATGAGACTTCGTCGAAACGTCACCAAGACACTTCCAATTTTATGTGGCAGAAAACCCGAATAACCAAAGACCTACATACAAACACCTGCAAAAACCTCAGAATATATATATATATATATGCATAATTATTAGTAAAACAAATAAAACACAATCACCGGGCAGGTTTGAAGTAAGAATAAGTAAGAACTTGCAGTTCCTTGTCCGTAGCACCGCGGGTGTTGACTGTTGATATGGCAGAAGAGGAGAGGAAAACATTAGATTCAACCCTCCCTCCAATATGACAGGTATCAGCACCATCGGAAGAGGAGAAGATGCAAGGTTACTAATGCCTCCGGAAACCAACAGCGGAAGGATAGGGAAGGGAATTCGAAGAAAAGAACAAAATGTTATAGACACATCTCGATCATCAGCTGGTCAATCAGGGCCAATGATGCGGTCTAAAAGCCGTGCGCAGACATTACTTGAACCTACTTAAACCACCTTTGTTGAAACGGCCTTTTTAGCCCTGACGATGTTGGGGAGTTTCTCCCAGCGAAAGCTTGGCAACTTTTTAGCATAAGTAAAGTATATTTTTAGTAAAGTATTCTTACTTCAAACCCTCCCGGTGATCGTGTTTTATTTGTTTTACTAATATATATATATATATATATATATATATATATATATATATATATATATATATATATATATATGTGTTTTCTGAGGTTTTCGCGGGTGTTTGTATGTAGGTCTTTGGTTATTCGGGTTTTCTCCCACATAAAATTGGAAGTGTCTTGGCAATGTTTCGACGAAGTCTCATTCGTCATCTTCAGGCTGGTGCTTCCGGCTTCGTGCTTCTAGAAGCACGAAGCCGGAAGCACCAGCCTGAAGATGACGAATGGGACTTCGTCGAAATGTCGCCAAGACACTTCCAATTTTACGTGGGAGAAAACCCGAACAACCAAAGACCTACATACATACATACATACATACATACATACATAGTATATAGTATCTCATGTAATTTTTATTAACTATCGATAACAATCATAAAAAAGTTTGTTTGCAACCCTACAGCCATACATGTAGGAATTAACAACCTTGAATAAAGTGGAACTCATATCCTTTATGAAAAATATAGCATTACAGTACTAACTCAACAGTATTGAGCTATCAGTCAGACTGATATTCCAAATTCTCTGCCTCAATTAACTGGATTTATTTTGGCTTGCCATACTTCCTTTAGTAAAAATGTCTAAAACAACTTTTGTCATATAGCAGTTAATGTGTTGGATTAGCAAATTATAATCAACACTCACAAGATGTAATGAATGCATAAATGATTTTGGTGAAAGAGAGGAGATACTGCCTATGAAACAATCAAAAAAGAGAGGCAGGAAGACACCAGAAAACATTTTGCTTCTTTTTCCTTCAGTGTTCTTTGTTCCCTGATTAAGTTAACACAAAGTAACAATGTACCAGGTTACAGGAAAGCAACAGAAGCAGATCTAAGAAAAGACTATT